ATTTGCCTAAGCCGGCACGAAGACACGTTTGATGATGGCCATTATTTTTTTGTTTTTTTTTTTTTGGCAAGCGTTTGTCCCATGTTAATTTCGTCTTTAACTTTTTGAGTCAGCAGGTTGAGGCCCCCCCAAAAAATAAATTAAATCAACAACGCAGGGAAAACACCGTGAAAAATGCTCATAAAGGAAGTCGATGCAGCAAACAAAGGCCGGAACGGAGGACATTCATTGACATAAAACTTAAATTTTTAATGCCAGAGACCCGGCTACCCCTGATCCCATGCCCCCCTACCGCATTCCGCACTCAATGTGTGTCGTTTCAGGTGCAAGACACATAAAAAATAAATGAGCACAGTACAACAAGGAAAGCGGTGAGAAAGGAAAGCCAAACAAAAATACAAGCGCCCGGCGTAACACACAAAGCAGCTCGGCGTGGAAAATAAGTGGAAAGCCACGGCGTGCCGCAATTGTGCGGGCAGAGAGAGGGAGAAAAGGAAAAGTCTGACGACGGGTTTCCACATTTTGTCACCCAGCCGCGTAACTTGCGACAATTTTTTACGGCAAACAAATTTTGTTTTTGTTTCTCGCGACGCCACAAACAGAAATCGAGCCGCGACAAAGCCAAGGACGGTAGGTGGCAGAGGGACTCTCTCGGCGGAAAAGGAAATGAAAAAGTACTTAATATTTCACAAAAGCGGACTGAAAGGCAATTTACAGAGTGAAACGAAAGCGAGTGGAATATGGCAGACTAATGGAAATTGAAAGGCGAATATTCGGGGAATAACCAGCAAACGGAATTCAAATTCAATGGAATTCCCCAAGGGCTTGCGGCTTCGCCAGCGGAGTGCCATGTTCCAAATAAGCCAAGGTTTATCAGTGTTGTCTATAAATAGTTGCCCGTTTTGGCCAGACCAAACCTCCGTCAGGTCCTACACGGAGAATAATTTTCAAAGTTCGGAAAATAATATTTAAACCCTCTCAAGTCTCAGTTTATTAAAGAAGCATAAAAGATTTTCTTTATAAATGCCCAACATTAATACATCAATACGCTCAGTGTACACATTCCTCAGCAACTACAATTTCTCGGATTGCCAAGGCAACTTTGTGGCTACATCCTCCGAGTACCTTGGGGTCCTGCTCCTTTCCCTTGCCGTCGTTGGTCTGGCAACCGCAGCTCAACGCGACCAAAACCAACGCCTGCCCCTTAAAGGGCATCCATCGGCTTTCAACCACCCGCCCGCCCCCTTCCTTCCCACCACAAGGATACGCCGCTCCTGACATGCCACTTCCCCTCCACCTGGGCACCCACACAAGTTGGCGCGTGAGCCGCGCAGAAAAGTCAAAAAATTAAATGCTATACGCAAGATTTGTTGGCTGCGAATGTCGTACCCGAGAGGACCTGGCATTAACCTGCAGGCACCGAGCACCTGTGCGTATGAGTGATATGCCAAGGCCCTCTTCCTGTCTGTGCGAGGAGAAAAATAAATTTTACATGTGAAGCGGATGAACTCCAAATTGATTGGTCCTCCCGAGAGGGGAGAGAGTGTGTGTGTTGGGGGGTTGCGTAAATATTGAAATAATTAAATTGCATTTTAATAAATTAAATGAAAAAGTATACATATTTGAGGATTCAGACCGCGGCAATCTGGTGGCACTTCAAGTAACCTAATTATGAGCAAACCACTTAAGCTCCTTAATTGCACAAAGGCGAAAAGGGTCAGCATGGACACGTGTTTGTGTGGTCAGTAGAGGATAAATAGTTGTGAAAAGTATCCTTAATTTGATGAAAACCCTTGGAGTCTCTCAGCTTTTAAATAATTGTGGACCATGCCTCCTTCCCGCCGCCTTCTTTTGAAGAACTAACAAAAAAGCAAGGACGAGCAGACCAATCCCTAATCCCTATATCCCAGCTCCCTCCCCCAGGGATCCCCGTTCGTATTGTTGACTGCGCCGGAAATTAAGCGCACCGGCAGAAGGAAGTCTGCCCTAATGTACTAAAGTGAAATAACGTGTATGCCATATCTTGGAACATGCGGATGGCAGTAAACACAGATACAGATACTCCGATGATTCGGATACACACAGATACCGAAACAGATCCTGCTGCATTGCAAATAATGTCGAGATGGAATCTATATATTTTACCTGAGTTTTAGCTCAGGCCTACCTACATTAACACTTATTTGCATTCGATCCGGCTCCGGAAAGTGACATTTATTTAAACTACATAGAAAAGCATTTCGTGATGAAATTTCCATTCCCGGAAAAATCTACGTAGCTTGTGCAACGATTTCGTTTATGATAACCATTTGCCGGAGGGCAAAACTTTCGGGCCGCCGCGATGCCAATCATATGAGAGAAGGCAATGCCAGCATAATTTTTTCCTGCGCGACGATAAAAACTTTCTCCGGCCAGAGAGGAAAAATAGAGGGGGCATGGGATGGGAAGGAAAAGCAAATATGAAGCGCGCTTGGAAAAACTGTTTGGCGAAAAAAAGGCGACATATAATTGGAAAACTTTCGGTAAAAGGCGATGGCGACAAGGCAAAGTGTGAAGAAATATTTAAGTTCGTTCAAGTGGCGTGAACTAAATTGAAAATAGAGGGCAGGAAAAAATAAAAGCCGTGGAAATGGGAGAGCGAAGAAAATAGGGCTGACCCAAGGCGGGGGTAGTTGCTTAACTATTTATGGAATTATTGAAATGTCAATTACCTTTCTATGGCCAATCAATACTGAAATCGAAGCGAAAGGCCAACGAGCAAAAAGTAAGAACAGGTAATGGGTTAGGGGCAGGTGGGCGGATTGATAAATATCCCTGAATGCATAATTTAATTGACTTTTATGGGAGTGCCGGCAGGCCCCACAATTTACACCATTGTTTGTTTTTTGCATATAATTTCAATTGAATTTTAATTGAAATTATGACGGCTCCGGCCCCGTCGCAACTCCACTGAGCCGGGCTCAACGGATTCGCACTGAGCCATTGTTTTCCTAACCGTCGCGCTTTGTTTGCACGGCCTGGCCATAATTTCAGTTGCGGTCACAGGACGGGATTACAATGGCAACCATTTAGCATATTAGAATATGCATTGTTTTGCGCCCAACTCCCGCGTACGCACCAGGAGACCGCCCAGGAGGCTCTTTGCACCGGTTCAGGGGTTCAGATCCTGTTTAAGAATGTGCCTAATTGCTGTCCCTTAAATTTGGGGTGGAAGCCAAAACTAATCAATTGAATTTGGCAAAACCATAAATTAATAACTTTATTTTAAAGTGTTCCTTAAAGTCTACTGAATTTCTGTGAAATCTGCTTTTAAATTTTGATTATATTCAAGAGATGCCAACTAGTTAAAAGTCAGTAAAAAGAAAATTTACCTCTTGTATATTATTATTTACATCTGAGAGATACCCCACCGCTGCTAAGAGATACCCATAAAATGAGTGAAAATATTTCAGAAATTTAAAGTGGCTCTGCCTCATTGTGTAACATTTGTTTTTATTCGAGTTTTTCCCTTGCCCCTTCAGTAGTTGAAGTTTTTGCTGATGTCCTTTCTGCCGCATAAGTAAAGAAAACAAATAAATAAATTGCTGCCTTGGCCAGGACTCACACACGTACACACACACATACATTGCGTGTGTGTGGGAGAGTTTCAGGCTTTCATAAGTTTGATATGTATGCGAATTCCTTTCGGTTTGTGGTTGGGGTTTTTTGGCTTTTTGTCAAGCGAATGCCATTCCCTGAGCTTCACCTTCGTTCGCAATTATTTTGAGCTTCGCATTTGCCATTTTAGCCTTAATTAGATTTCCTGCCACTTCCCTCCATCACGGTATTTGCACTTGCCTTTGATGGGGTTTTCATTTCCAGGCGCTACGTGCTACGTTTGTCTTTGCTGTCTGATAATTCCACTGAGGCGAACAAGAGCTGGCCAAAAAGGACCCGCTGTTAGCCCTCTTCGACTGGGACTGGCTCACACGCTGACATGCACTCGTTGCCGCGACATGCAATTCGCAATGGCCAATAGTCCGCGGGGCGCCCGGAACTTTAATTGCCTGCTCACGGCTGGTGGCTCAGTTTTTTGGGGAGCAAAGGAACGATGAAAATCGCACAAAAATCGCCACAAATGGGTTTTCGCGCCTTCGCCTTCTGACTTGGCCACACGCTCAGACACACGAACTTCGGTCCTTAGTGTCCCCGATTGCCACTCGATTCACTCAATATTTCGAAACCGACCAACGACCGCTGTGCACGTCCTTTCGCCAGCTCGCACCGATTTCAACTGAAGGACCACTGCCAGGAGCGGCTGGATATGTTTACGGCTCGTCCTCGTTGCGAGTCCTTCGTGCCCGAACCCGCTAAAAGGAGCTTTTTAGTACACTGAGTGTGGTGGTGAATATCGTAACTCTAAGAGAGGGAAATTGTGCTCTCTTAGCTGATTGGCAACAGGCATTCTAGATTATAGAACGTAAATTATAAATAATTTTTTGTTTACTTTTTATACCCCTGCAGGGTATTATAATATTATTTAGGAGCTTGTAACGCTATGAAGGAGTCATTTCCGACCCTATAAATCAAATATATTATTGATCAGAATCAAAAGCTGAATCGACCTAGACATGTCTGGTAAAAAAATAAATCTTTGAAATTTTTTCAAATTTTGTAAATTTTATAAGGGGTTACATCATTAAAATTGTCTAAAATTTGACAAAATTTCAATTTCTTAAAACTTTATATTTAGTATGCAGATTTATTAACCCAACAAAAACAAACATGGGAACGGTTTCTGAATTGAATTTAAAGCATTTTTTGCTGAGTTATGAATTTTTCAAACTTTCTTATACCGAGAAAAATCGTCATTTAAAAATATAGGTAAATATTTGTAAAAGACTTGTGTAATGGATTCAAATATATTTGTTACTTTTGAATGTAAGTATAAGTTCAAAAATTGCTATTACCTTTGCCTTTAAGCATTGCCTAATTTGTCAACGCCTTAAAATTTGAAAGCAAAGGGCTCCCTCAGTTTCACCCGATCTCTCTCAAGGGGAACTAGCCTTCGTTTAGCCAGCCGCCTTTCGGTGTCCAAATTATCCAAATTGAACTGAGTATGCCTTTGCCCAAGTAGCAAGTACTCGCTCATTCATACCCCAGTTCAAACACTGGGCAAGGCTCTATTCCCGTTCCCGTGTTCTGCCGTCGAACAGACAAACCAAAGACACATTCTACCCGCAACCAGGTCTGTATTCGAATCCGAACTCTTGTCCTTATGTATGTGCCACTCAACAACGCTGCGGTTTCATTTAGCCAACCGCAAAATTCTTGCCAAACAAAATAAAGAAAACAAGAAGAACTAACTTGGTCGAAGCTGAGCTAAAGCAAAGCCAAGCGGCAACGGAAATTGTTAACCTTTGGGGATATCAAACATTTACGATTGCGTGGCAGTGGTAGCGGCAGCGGCAGCAACATTTAAGTTTTTATCAGCACAAAATAAAGTTTTGGTTTACGGATTGTGTTCCAGGCCCGCACCTCGAAGCCCCGAACCCCCCTCAGCCAACCCGCGCATTATTTGGCCAAAGCCAGCCACAAGTGCCCAGGAGCAGTAGTGGCAAGAAAGGCAGCAGGAGCAGGAGCAGGAGCAAGAGCTGGAGGAGGAGCAGGATCAGGGGCTGAAGGGTCGTTCGTGTTGATTCTCGGGCACGCAGAACTTTTATTCTTTTCAATTTCGTTTTTCTTGGCGAGTACTTCTAAGGGATTTAAATTTCTGTTTGCTGCCGAGCAGCCAACAAAGCAACCGTGGGAGCGAACACGTCGGCCGCCTGGGGACCAGGTGAGTTCTTTAGCTTCTTGTTGGCCTAATCACGGCCTTGCCGTTTTTCCCAACAATCGAATGCACAAATCCGAATGGCCCCGCCAATTTGACTTGCGTTTTTTGGCGGGATCAAGTGCATATGCTTGCATACAAGGTGCATTTAATTAGGTCATGATAATTCTTAGTACTTGTCTTTAACTGAACAGACATTTTCTTGGCTTTAGAATACACCTGATATAAATACTAGGCTGTAATACAAATGATAATTTCATACGTTTTACCCAGGAGTTATGCTGAATAAAAGAAAGTGCTTTGGAGCTTCGCAACCCAACACAAATCCGGTAGCACCCTTGAATGCCGTCGAGGCTAATGACTCATATTTGGGCATGGAAGATTTGTCTAGACCCTCAAATATCGTCAACGCAAGCGACACGCTAATAGGCTTGGAAGATATGGCTCACGGGACAAATGACGATGGCATACCTTTTATTTTGGTTGATGGTGCGGCCTACACCACGCGTAGTAGTCTGGACCTGGCTCTTAGCCGAGTAGAGCAGAAGAGAATGGATCAGATAATCATGCAAATCGATAGCAGTGACCTTCCCCAGATTGAAGATACAGGGCCACCTCCAGAACTAGACATGGACATCAATCTTAGTTCAGGAGCACTGGCACAGCGAAGAGCTGCGGAGGATGAGCGACGATTTCAGAAGGATATAAGCGAGCTCACCTTTTGGCCGCCAGAAACTGAAGAAACCGTCACCACTCCCACCACCCAAAGCCATAGCTCCATTAGCAGCATGGAGCAGGTTATCCTTAAGCTTGACCAGATGCGAGGTTCGACAAAGCAGGTTCCACCTCCGAGCACGGAGACACCTGTAGCCAAGCTACCTGTGCGTCCCGGCATCCAGCGACAGGGCACCTTTGATATCAAGCGGAATAAGGAGGGTGATAGGGATAAGGGTCCCGATATAGCCATTATATGCCCAGCTACCTCAAAGAATTCCCAATTGCACAAAACTCTATACCAGGCAGGGATCCCCAGCCTTATAAGCCGAAAGCACCCTTCAAAGTCCCCGGGGAATGAGTTTATTACTGTAAGAGCCGGGCAGCTCATCAATCATATAGGTGATCACTTTGTGGAACTCTGCCGTTTGTACGAGGAAGAAAACAACAGAGTGCTGAATGAGGGATCCACCTACACCTATTTGGTGACGATTAGTCCCGCTAATGGAGCCTCCAACTGCACCATCGACCCGATTTCAGATTCTGAAGTTAACTACCTTTGCTTGTCTCGGAATTCATTATCATCCCATACGATTTCTAATCTTAAATGTTCAAAATCGGAGCTAAGTACTAGCGTTGTCGGAAGGCACTCCCCTGCGGCAGGTCCTTTAAAGCACGGTGCCAAAGTGACATATACCGAAGAGCGTGGCAGGTCGCAATTTTTGCGTAAGACGACATCCTCTATAGTTAATATTGCATCCCCTGCGAAATATTACCAAGGCAGGAAGAGAGATTGAGGTGAACGAATGGGATTTTATTGACAATTTTATAGTTGTTTGTCAAAATTAATTTAAATAAAAGAGTTTTCAAGAAACTGCGCTTATACACGCACTTTAAATGCATTTTGCTTTTTTCTTTCACCCAGTTAATGTTCTATTAAAGCTTCTTAAATTATTTATATTGAAGCGAAATCTGTGGAAAAGTGGAAAATGTCAGAAGACATTGAGGTCGAAGTGTTGTTCTCTTACTCCTGATATATGTATATAATATGTATATTGTGGTAGTTTAAGAGATGGTGACATATATATTCACTGTTGCACGAAGAATGTTATAAGCAAACCATTGGGATTGAAAAAGAAACTCGCCGAGAGGAAATGTAATAACCTCAGTAACCTGTGTATTGAGAAAGTCGACAGTCAATTTATCCACAATAAGATCGTGCTGTAATAAATGCATAAGGTTAATTACATAAGCATTATGAATAATTAGAACTCACATTGTACGGACAAGTATGGTTCATGTTCGAGTGGCTTTTGAAGAAGCTATAAAGATATACAACCACTGGGTTTGAACTTGGATTTCTCAAGAATTTACAAGCATCCACATTGACGTTGTACAGAAATGGTTTATAGCCACCAAATCGTTTTAGCAGCGCAAAGTTTACCTGTGGAAGTGGCTCTTTATTAGTCTTAAATAATTTGAGTTGACTCTCATAAGAACCTGGACATTGGTAATGGGTGTTTTGTAGAGCTTTACTTTTATAGAAATGTATTTAAAGCTCCGGTTAACCGCCTTAAAATGGCAATACTCAAAGTTGCTAAACTTTGGGTCCAAGGAAGTGCAGTTTAAATTCGTAAGCTGCACTTTGCTGACGACCTGAAATATCATATATTGCATTCCCCTTCTTAACTCAAATTCTTTCTTACTTCTAAAAGAACGCAGAGAATCACAACAGTCTGCACTAAATGAATATACACAAAACTCATCTTGAACGAACTGAGCGAACTGAAAAAATAAATAGAGAGCGTTTTTGTCATTGGGCAAAACGGATTTTTTAAGCAATTAAGATCTCATCAATACCATTATTTGAACTTTTAAAGGTATATCGTTGATCAAAGCATTTAATAAATAATCGATGTATTTTGAACCATAAATTCTATAATTATAGTCGATTTCAGTTTTGAACCGAGATTACCAGTACTCTATACAAAGATAATTATGCATTAATAAATAATGAACTAAGTATAACCAATTTTATATTCAGGTGCTTCGGATATTCAGAACGATGTCATTAAGTATGACAAGTATGAACCCTAGTCCTGCTGATTATATTTTGTTCTTGGGTTTTTAATACTCCGATTATTATTAAAATGAATCATCAAAAAACCTAAATGGATAAAAATACTTTTTGTGCTCACAGTATGAACTACAATTAATTAATCTTCAAAATAACAATACCTCTTGTCAAGGCTGACTAACCTCGAATCATTTTTGAGTGTCTCCTGGACGAAAAGTTGGCATTTTTGCTTACTTCCTGGAGGAGTGCCTAATTGCAGGATGGTCACCAGGCTTGCACCACGCACTTTCATTGCTCATTTCCGAGGGTGGCCTCGAGTGCGTTGCTGCAGCTCATTTTGCTCGGTTTGCGCAATTGTGGCCAAAGTGTTTTCAACTTTCCTCTGTCATTTTGCCTGGAGGTCGAACCCAGAGTCCCCTCTTCCCCTGCCCATCGAGCCCAGTTGGATTTGGAGAAATGTCGGCCAAGTGCCTGGCCTGGCCTGGGTTGGCTTGTGCCAGTTGGCATTGCTCCTGCTGCAGGACCTTTGCGGCCGCCTTCTGCCTCTTGTCATCTGTCGTTGGGCACAAATTGCAAGATTGACTGCTGGCCAAGGGACGGTGCCGAGAGAGGCTGGGGGGAAAAGTTTTCATTAGTTTTAATTAAATCCCAAACAGCATTTCCATGCTGCACTCTCCGAGGCGTGTGTTCTTTAGAGGCTTTGTCAATGAGTTTGCCCAACAAAACCGAATTAAAAACACATCAAAATTAATGACACTTCCCCCCTGGGATGAAGCATAGTAGTGGGTGTAAGCCAGGCCAAAAGGAAGCCATGGCAACTGTGGCACTCGAAGTGCGGACAACATTTGTGCAATTTATTTGCCTGCTTTTTTTGCGTCGCTTCTGGACGCTTGCATGTTGCTAAATAAATTTCATGATTTACTGCAGCCATACTACGGGAAGCGCGAACAAGGAAAAAATGACAGTTGCCAGTGGCCACAATGTTTATATAGTTGTCGCGTGTGGGCGTGGCACGTCCTGGGAGGCGTGAGGATGGCAGAGGCTGTCGGTACATGAAATTTGCAATTAGATTTGGCGAAAAGGCAGCCGCAACATCCGCCCGGCGTCCCAGTTCCACTTGCCAGCAGTCAGAAGCCAGTATCCAACTTCGTTCGCCGGGTCGGGTCCGGGCAAAATATTTAATGCGGAAAGTTTAATCGCAATGGCTGCGGCAGCAACAGCAACAGCAATAGCGACAGTGGCAGCGGCGCATTTCCGGCATTTGTTGGTTTTTAGACTGCATTTCCCGCAGAAACAGCCACAGCAACAGCAGCATCAGCACCAGCGGCAAAACAGGACATGGCCATCGCACAGGCAGGCTCATGGTTGACATCATCAAATTTGATGCCGGGCATTTACGGACACAACCATCCACCCAGCCGCCGCCTGTCTTCTGGGGATCGGGGATCAGGCCAGGGCACGGCCATGTCCGGACTACGGACGCACTTTCGCTGCGGCCGGCCTTTGAGCATCCAAAGAAATTAAATACATTTTTGATTAGCCAGTTGGGTCCGCTTCCGCACGAGTTGCAACAGCCAGGCCACATCTGTATATATATATTCTGCACCCGGAACGAGGCGGCTTTCGCTGGGATTTAGTTTCGCTTACGGCGGTGGGCCGCTTTTTCCGAGAAACTCTGTGAAAGTGGCCTGATTAGCTTGGCAACCAATGGTACAAAGTGGGGTCAATTCGGAAATGAAGTCAGTACGATCTAAAGCAAGTAACTAGAAAACCGCAGAAGGATTCAAGATGATCTCTCGTGAAAAACATATAAATTAGACAGTTTATATCGAGATTCTTAGTGTGGGAATTCCAACTAATTCAGAGTCAGTGAAAGTGGGAATCGTATTTTTCCCAATTTTCATTCCCGCTAATTGGTGCTCTGGTAATTTCGGGGAAAACCTCCCTCGGAGTTGTGCTAGTGCCACACAATTAGAATGCACAACAAATAATTACATAATAAATTCCCCGCACAGCTGCAACTGGGAATGCAACTGCAAACGCGGCGTCTTCCGGCAGCAGCTGCCACGAAATGTAAATGGAAATAAGTGGCAGGACGTTGACGGGTCCTGCGGGAGAAGCGCGTCCTTGTTTGCGACCACGTTTACAAATGCCTTCGACTAGTTGAGCACTTGATCAGCGAGTGTCTGGAGCGGGAGCTTCCGCCATCCATATCCATTCCGCCTCCTCGCTCGTGTGGGCGACGGCGAGATTAATAAAATTTATTATCATGGCGATAGTGGCAAAACAAACTGAACAGAACGCCCCACACATCCCCCAAAGTATTTATGTGCGCAGCGCGGCTGAAGCCAGCGGGGAGAACATATCAAAATGAAGTAAAATTCATTTTGCAACATTCAGCGGGCGGCGAATGCAAAACCCAAATTGCAAATGCTTCTGGGCTGCCGAGAGAGAGAGCTCAGTGCCAGGAGATCCTTCGCTTCCATCCCAGCGCAGGAGTAGGGAGCAGGGAGCTGGGACTAGGACCGAACGGAAGTTCGACGCCCAAGTGGCAGTGGCGATAATAGCGCCCTGCCATGTGCGCTAAAGTATTAGCATATAAACATGCACACTCGCAAACGGCGGGCAGCAAGAAAAACTTTTGACTGCAGCGGCGCTATCAGGAGACACATAAATATGAGAGCGCCAGCGGGGCTTGAGAACGGCACTCGGAGAAAGTCCTTGATGGGGCAAAAAATGTAGCTGTACTTTGTACTTGTATTTGCAGGACACTAATTAAGCTAAAAAATATATATAAAGTTTTATAAAAACGAGAAAGGAAATTACTTTTAGGAAGACGAAGCTTCTATATCTTTGCAGTTTGCAATTGAATTCGAGAATCAAATCGGAAATCGATCATAATAAAGCTTCTCATTCTTGGAATCAATATTTTACTATGATCATTTATATGGAAAAATCAAAGTTTTAAAATCTCATAACTAAGCCAAAAATGCTTTAATTTCAATTCAGAAGCCGTCCCCACGTTAGTTTTTGTAAGGTTAATAAATCTGCATACTCAATTTAAGATTTAAAAAATTTGAATTTTTTTTTAATTTTTAACAATTTTAATGATGTAACCCCTTATAAAATTTTCAATTTTCGAAAAATTTGCGAAAATATATTTTTTGACCTGACAAGGCTAGATCGATTTAGCTTTTGATTCCGATCAAGAATATATATGATTTATGGGGTCGGAAATGACTCCTTCACATCTTTATAAGCTTCTGACTTCAGTGATATTACCCTAAAAGGGTATAATTTACTTACAGAAGTTATAAAACTTAAAGATTATTGACTTCACATATTTAGAATATGACAGGTAATCAGAAAATATAGTTTGTTATTATACAGGGCATTAAGTTAACAAAATGCAAAAATAAAAAACTATTAAATTTGTAAAACATTGTCCTTGAAAAAGTATATTTTACTCTCAGTGCACTCAAAGGGGTAGCCTGGAGAGTGGCGACTTTCTAGGCAGATATATGGAGTGTAAAAGTGTCATTGCCACGCCCATCTCCCACTATCCCCTACCCACGCCTGCTACCTCTGTCCATGTAACTGCAGCAGAGTGGAATTTGAATATTATTGTCACCCCCACACACAAACACCAACACTCGTAGGGCACACCCGTGGAAGAGGCACGAACACAGGTTTACTTGGACAGACCTCGACCTGGAGACCAGAATGGAGATAGAAGCAGAACCAGAACCAACCACTATTTAATACTGTTTGTGCGAAATAATAGCCAGGACCCCCGAGGGGAGAGGAGGGAAGGAGCACCCCTGGCGGTGCCGTAAATTCAAATTAAGTCGCCCAACTTGCTGACAGTTAAAATCTTGGTAACAAAAATGTGCAGGGAGGCGGCCCACAGGAGAGATCAGCACTGCATTGGGTCACACTGCGTATGAGTGTTGTCGCCTGCTGGTGTGTGTGTGTGTGTGTTAGCCTGTCTATGCCCATTTGCATCCGTGTGTGTGTGTGTGCGTTAGTTTGCAGTTTGTTGAGCATCACACACGCAGTTGGTTTTGAATTTATTGCCGCAAAATGCAGCAGCGCAGGTATTCCCCAAGAAGTGCAGATGGATTAAGTGAGCTCTCCCTGCCCCCAGAGTGTGAGTGTGATTGCGTTTCATTTTAATTAAATACTTTGCCAAGCTTTCGTGATACGCCAATGGATGGAAAATGTCAAGGCCTTCTGCTCGCTTTCACCTTGCTCTTCATCGAGGCTCCCCTCATCTGCCCCGCCCAGCACTTTACCTCATTTCCGGTCGCCTCGAGTGGCCCCAGCCAGCCTGGTCAACTTTCATTGCAGCAATTTGGGGTCATCATTGAAATCAATAAACGCCGGCAAAGTGGTTCAAAGTGCGATTTTAAGGCACCGGGGAGCAGGACGAAACGGTGAGCACTTTTCCTGCCCCAGACAAAGTTGAAAGATTTCTCTCGGCCCGAAAAGTTAGTCTGACCAGGTCAGGGAATTGAATGGTGTTGGTGGAAGTGGTGGAGGTGGTGGAACTCTAAATTATGACGAGCAGATGGAGAGAAAGATGGTGCTGGCCTGATAG